TTCCCTCCTCTTTTAATTTTCTCTCAGTAGCAACACGGGGGTCTCAAAACAACTCTCACATGACCTGAAGACAAAGCTTGTTCACCATCATGGTTTAGGGGAAGGACACAGAAAGCAGCACCAAAACCTACAACTGCCTCCAAAGCTCATACTGTACATGTAAAAGAAGGCATCTATCAATCTCCTGCCAGCAACTGCGAATAACTCAAAACATTAAACAATCACTTAATTGTGATACAAGGAAAAGGCAGGAAGCTGTGATCAATGAGGAATTGGTTGGCTTTTAATTTGAAGGAGACGAAGACTTTGGAGTGCAGGAAAACGGCTTCAGTGTCGTTGTATGTGAAAAGGAAAAGTGATATAATGTCATGTTTTTAGTCTGGATTTCATTAAAAAAGCCAAAAGCAGGGACCCATCGCAGACACATGATTGGTCTTTTTGTTAATAAAAGAAACTAAGCATGATGATCAAAATCTCTGAATATGCTTTCATGGTTTTTTGTGTGTATGTCGTGTTCTGAACAATCCAAAGATATCCAAAGATAGACAGGATGTTTACAGACTGCAGGAGCTCTGGGCTTATTTTACATCACTGTTATTACTACATACCAAAAATATCTCTTTTCTGCATCAATTCACTTCCTAGAAGAAAAAGCAATGGTGGAAAGAGCTGAAGGCAAGAACACAGACTAGATAATTATATCTTTTATTGCTATGTGCTCCCCATTACAACAAACAGCATCAGTAGTGTACACTTCAATCTACACAAATACATAGTAAAGCAAATAGAACAGAGTGACTTGCGTTCATGACAATCCAATACTTCAATGCATGGACAGCACAGGGGTATTGATACAGTACATGGAAAATCCTATGCAATAACAGCTGTCTGAGGCTCAGGGATTGTCAAAGTAACTTCTACGGCTACTCTAGTTATCATTACAAGCTCTCTATAGCATTAGCAGCAGTGTTTATAGGCAGCAAGTAAATGCTGTGAAAAGAACTGGGGAGGAAAATGAAAATACTGCCAACTACAAACAGCATAAAACAGCTTTACTGGTACTACGCTCTTCATGTTTTATCGGTTAAAATAAAGCATCTGTCTGGTCAGTTCACGCTGCTGCGTTGCAACGACTCGGATAAAGACTTCTACAAAACAGCTGTGAAAAAACAGCTTTCTGACAAGTAAAACATCTCAAAAATGAGCATGTATATTTACATCTAATTGTTTGCAAAAACAATGTCATTTCTACTCTACTGTGTTCGTTAACAAGCACAAATCTGCTTCCAATGTGAAAATATGACCGGAGAAAGAGGTGATCAGTTTTCAATGGTTTATCCAATGCAGCTTATCGGCCGGCTGCTGCACACGCTGCGACAACAAAGCAGAACCCTTTAACTTTCAATAAATATTTATGCACTCAATGCTATATACATGTTCTATACATTGGCACACAGGACTGAGTGTGGATAGTTGCAAGCTATTTCTTTGCTGAAAACACAAATCTGTGCCTTTTGCTATTGCAGTCAGATGCATGGTGGTTGCAAGGAAATCCACTTATAAATAAATAGCTTTCTCTCTCCAAAACCTTTTTCCACCTTAATAAAAAAGCCATTTAGAGAATACTCTGGAAAGAAAGATGTTCCACATACAGTAAGTCTTTTTTTAAATTCCAGCTTATTGTACTTACAACAAAGCTTTGTTCCTGCAAACATAAGACGTACCAGAGAACCTCGTTCAGGCTAATCATGAAAGGATCTAACGAGCTCCAAGGGCCATTAAGCAATTTTCATATTAAAACTGAATGACATGGCTCTGTATCGGCAGACTGTGAAAGGGTAGATCAATTTTCCAAGCTCAGTACTGACAGATTACATTGTTTTAGCTCTTCACAAAAAAGCTAAAAGCACAGCTGGAACAAACAGCTGGGTGGTGAAGACGGTGAGAGATGGCGGGGACTCCTGAGCTAAAATAAGTCGGACTTCATTGCAGGGGCAGAATATTTAATGTGTCTAAAAGTTAAAGATAATTTGTTTTTGAGTTTGTCTGGTCCCTAGTGGTCAAAAGTCAACTAATGCAGCTTTAGTTATTAGGCTCACCTGTGAACGCGAATCCAATCTAACACAGCAGTTCTGCTAACAACTCATCATTTAGATTCTTTGCTGACATTCCTCAAAGGTTCTTATGATTTTACCTGATTATGGAGGTTTCAGGCAGTGAGGACGTGTAGGCTACATCGGCTGCCTCCCTTCCTTCCCACATCACTGCCCTCTACGACCTCAATAACAAACACAAACAGAAAGCTTCACAGGACAAGGATTTATAGCGGTGTGCTGATATCGGATTGCATTTCTTTCTTTTCACAGGTTAACGAAAAGTCACGGTAAAAGTGAGGCTAAAGTAAAAACACATTTTACATGTATTATGAATAATTTTGGTCCTTTGACCTGAGTGTTGTACGGTCTATTTTATATGCGCATGCTCTTTAGTTAGTTCTCTTCTTTGCCCTTAAGTATTTCTGAGAAGAAGAGAAAAACATGGAACAAAGCTAAATATGAAAGGCAGCCAGCTTGGTGCAGCAAAGCGACTGTTAGCAATAAGTGAGCTCTGTCTAACAAAGCTGTTCCTGTACTAAACACAGAAACTGGATGAATGCTTCGGTGCTGATAGGTGGTGTTTTCTTTGGACAGAGCCGGTTAGCTTTCCCCATGTTTTCAGTGTTTATGAGAAACTAACTTAATTGTGTCATACAAGGTATCAAACATCCCATCTCTCTGCACTTTGACTTTTCCTTAAGTTAGAACAGAAACCTTCATGGCATTCTGAAAGGAAAGCTACATCAATAATCAGTCAATAATCCCTTTCTGCCCATGTGAACAGTCCCTGGAAGGGTAAACACTGGCACCAACATCTGTCAGAACTGGTTAAAAATGTATTTGAAAGCATCCCACCTTCTTAAAATAATACTGATATTCTCATGTACAGCATTTACAGGAAGCTTTATAAATAGTGCGCCGGGGAAATTCATCTCTGTTCGTGTTTCATATTCACTTAAAGTACGGTAAATCGTTTTTCACTGAATACTTTGACGGCTGAACTTTCTGTAAGTCGAGCTTTAAAGTTCGATTTCTGGCAAGAAAACTGGCAGTTTGTAGCATTCAAGTAGTGGGAATTCTCAGCTGTATCAGCTGATCTGGCTTTGACTATTGTTAACTTTAAAATGACAGCGGACTCTGACATCTACCTCAAAGGTCACAATGTGGGGACAGGATATGGATGCAATCAATTAAACGCATCGTAAAGCTGAGATTTATCCAAAAAGAACCAACGTGGCAAACGTGCCCACATGGAAAAGATATTTATAAATCTTATAAAGTTTGTATCTGTCTTGTGTGAAACTTGAATGAAAAGCATATAAGAGTGAAAACAGATACAAGATCCCTTAAAAAATTATATAATGAAACTTGTATGTTTTGGATACTAAAACAATATATGAAAGTAATGAGAAAGTGGCCACTTTCATGAGTAAATCATAGAAGTTTTTCCATGTGGGCGGCCTTTAGTGGAGTCACTTTTAAATGAACTGAAATGCAAGAGGCATTTAAACCAATTCTTGCATCTATTTACTCTCTGAGTCTACTAAATCTACACAGCTCTGGTCTCTGCACCTGCTCACACGTTCTCTCTGGATACCTGCAGCAGCATAGCTGCTCTGCAGGCAGCAGGGGTCTGGTTTATTCAGTAACGAGACCAGGCGACAGCTCGTCCGGAGGGGCAATGCAGACACCTTCCTCCACCTGCTCTCTCAGTTTTCACTGTGCAGGTGACATTAGAGAAACATTTGCCTGAACAAGGTGATAAAATGAAATAAATGTCAGACATCGGGAATGTATGAGTCCGAGCGACAAACATCTTTTGAATACTGAACTGTCCTTTGGCTGTTTTGTATCCCTGAAAGTATTCACTACGAACGTAATTTAGCTTTTCATTTGACACGGTTGAAAACTCCCCGTGGCTCACGTGCCCCTACACCTTGAAATGATTTCATATTTGTTTCATATTAATATGGAAGTATGAGGGCAAAGTAGCACGGCTGTTTCAGCCTCAGCAATCTGGAAGCTGCAGGTGGTTAAAGAGATATTTAGAGTCCGTATCAGGGTCAAATTCTTACAAAGTGAACCAGCACTTTTCTTTCTTTCTCTGTGTTTTCTGGTGTGAGAAGACTCAGGATGAAGCTGGATTATCTACTGTACATTACGAGTCCTAAAGGCAAAAGCTATGACTTTCATCGCTCCACTTCAGAATATGCCACAGGCTGCCGACTGTCCACCAGACTGCTTGACCTTTGACCCTGAGTAGGACCAGCCTGGGTGGACAGCTTCCTGTCAGTGAGGTCTGCATGTCGTGGAACCCGCCTTGGTGCTGTAGCGATCTTTGATGGGGTTTTCTTAACTGGAGCAGGCGTGGTGATGTGTTTTGCTGCACCGCCCGATGTGGCGGATCCTTTGCCTTGTTTCCCACCGCGAGTGCCGTTGGCCGCTACTGCGGCCGTTAACGTCTCAAGGAGCTGCGAGGCTGATCCGAAGCGAACGTGTTCCTCGGTCTCAGCCGCCTCCGAGAACATAGACAGGGCTCCGGTGCGCTTACTGCAGGAGTCGCAGCACAGCTTGCTGTAGCCTGGGATAGAGCAGTATCTCGCTAACACCTCCATTTGGCAGAAGATGGATTTGTCCCCATTACACGGCTCATCTGTAAGTCAAAGAGCATACAGTGTAAGCTCGCCGCAGTGTCAAAACTCTGGAAAGTTTAAATGGCCTTGGAAAGAGATCAAAGAGAGGAAGGGATGCCTTACAAAGCGCAGAGGCGTTGCTTTTAATTAGAGACTGACAGCAAAGAAAGTGTCTGTGCACATTCTAACAGTACATTCAGCATAACGGTGCTCATTCTGTTCTGCCTGGACGGGAGATGTGACCCAGTTTCTTCTACTACTGTACAAACCAATTCCAAGCGTGTTTGGTGTTGGCTCCGGTTCATCCCCCTCACGCTCTCAGGCACCAGAACTCTGCTTTTGTTTCTCTAACAAATAAAACTGCTGAGTGTTGCTTAACAAGACTTACATCCGTCCTAAAACGACTTCCAGAGACCTCAACGACTCTTCTAAGCACATGCATGAAAATGTCTCAGGTCTAATCAGAAAGATCTTTTACCTTGTTTAATATTTTGCCATTCAATTGCTGCCCTTTAACACAAAAATGCAAAATAACTACCTTTATCTCTGCTAAAATTATAAATAAATGTGCACGGCAGCACGGTAAAGATTTAAAGCAAAGGTAATAATCGCACAGCAGCGTCGGCCAAACAAACCACAGACGTTTTGTTCATTCAAACCTCTTCTTTTCCTTTTTGAGGGACGAGGTTCTACATAAACTCACAGCACGCACAGATAAAACAAACACATGCATATATAACAGCTGGAATGCTACCTGCAGAGAGCTTAATGTGCTCTCGCCGACTTATGAGTGTGCTACATTATTATTATTATGAGATGTATCTCTGTAACTTAAATACTGACTTGGCATTTATGTTTCGCATAAAGAGCATACAGCGACATTTACAAATGACATGCACTTCCACTGACACGATCAATAAAATACGCTGGTTTAAAAATCTGTGTGCTGTCTCAGAAAGGCCACGTAGGTGCTTAGGGCGCGTTATTAAAATCAGAAGACGTTCCATGAAAAGGTCTGGATTTGGCAGGATTCTGTTTGGACTCCTTTTGCTGATTTTCATCGCTGTTGTGAACAAACACAATGCTTTGGGGGGGTTTTGTCTCTTTTTTGTTTCACTGCACGTTGTCCTAGAATAGTGACACACAATCTTAAATTTCATGTTTGTGATCGCGTCCTGTCACGGCTGTACAAATAGGTAAACTCTTGACTTTAGTAACCTGTTAAACGTCCTTCAGCAGCAGCAACCTGTGTTAGCTTCTCATAGACACCAAACTGTTTACATCACTGGACAGCCCCGTCAAACATGTCACAGCATCTCACTCGTCCTGACTTTAACACCATGTCTCGTCTCCTAAACGCTAAGCCAGCCTCCTGCCTTGAGTTGGTTTGTGTTTCTATTTTTATTGAATACAAGTCACCCAGACCCTGCATGCTTTGGTGTGCAGTGTAGCTTAAGAGTTACACTTTTGTCCCATCTGTTCGCTAAACGCTGTCCTAGAAATCTTGTGTGGAACATTCAGTTCTTTTGAAAAACTGAGATCTGCCAAAATACAGGTTTGTTTTCTACACTGGACATATAACATGGTTTTTACTTCATTGTAGAGCTTTCTGCAGGTTTTTGTATGTTAACTTCAGGTTCTTTATAGATCTTTGCAGGACTGTTGGCGAACTTCCTTCACATCTTGTCTCATTGCAGATGAATGAACAAAGAATCTTTTGGAGCATCTCTAAAAGCTTTCTTCTAAGGTTGTGTGACAGAAAGGTTTTAAAACAACCAACAGCAGCAGACTTCGTCATTAACCTTTGTATGTTTCTATTTGTAGATTAAGCACAAGCTAATTAACACACAATGCACTTAGAAGCATGACTGCTTGAAAACAATGTCGGCCATTTATGCACATGACATCGTAAGCTCCACGAAGTTTCCCCTCAGAATAGAAAGTGATGCAGTTTACTTAGTGAAGACACAAAAGTGTTATTCCATTAGATCTATGAATGAGCTCTCGATCAAAGCAGAATGGGACGATTCCTTCGGCCTTACTTGCTTTGATGCATTTCAAACCAAAGTCTAGCAAACATTCGTGCAGGCGCAGACGCCTTCCTGTGCTACCACAGAGTAGAGTTTTTGTGGGGTGAAGCAATTTCATACAGACGCTGGACACTTTCAAATGTCATCACAGCAGCTCCAACTGGAAGAATGACGTTAGCAGCAAAGTAAGAGGAATAATGTGTTATTTCTTCACAAATGTCATTGTCTGGGCTTTAAATCACTAAAGGAAGTGACTTTAAATGAAAGCGTGACAGGGCGGCACGTTTCAGTCAATAAGAGCATGTGAAAGGACGCACTGTTAACATCTGAATACATTTTTCTTCCTTCAAGCAGTGACTGATTGAATTTTCGAAGCGGCACAAAACTCGAAGTCTAAATCAATCACGGGAAATGCTTAAATGAAGTTTTACTGTTGTTGTGATGTCAGCAGAGATGCTTCCGTCTACCTGGTCGTGAACTGCACTCACCCGTGAACAATGTTGGTACTTTCTAATGAATTATTGCAGGCTAGATGGACCGAGCCCGTTTCGAGGGGCTGCTGATTGATTTTCCTTTTCATTTAAAAATAAATGGAAACCGTCGGCTGGCTGCGAGGTCGGGGGAAAATGCAAGATTTGGTATTTTTTTTTATCAAGGACATAATCTGCTAAAATGAAGAGCAAATGACATGCATTATGTATTTTGTCTAGAGGACCTGCTGGACTGAAAGACGGGCATGTTGGAATGACTGATTATGTGGAGGGAAGCACAATGTGCTGAAATGTTAATGGAGTAAATGAAAAGAAGACGCTGCATGTTTGCGACGAGGATTGCACCATCAGACATTCTTACCGTGGCAGGGTCCAGGTTTGCACGGCCTCACGTTTTCGGGCTTTTCTCCGTTACACTGATCTCCAATCCGGCAGGTGATCAAACGCCTTTCTATCCCCTCTCCACACGTCACAGAACACTGAGCAAGAGTTTGAAAAGAAGAAAAGTGAGCTGAAAATTCGCTTCAGGTTTAATGTTCAAAAAGAAACAACACTTCTTACTTTCCTCAGAGTTTTATATGTCAGAAAACTATCCTGGGAATACATCACACGACTAAAGTATTTTGTCTCAGTCTCACTTTGCCCTTCGCTTCAGTGGCATCTTTATTTTGTACCCAGGGATTCTGGCGAATTAACAAACTTAAAGCCCTCAAATGAAGCCAAACAGCATCTGAAATCTCAACAGGCCCAGGTGGAGAGATCCTCTTTCTTCTGTTACAACATTTTGAATAATTTATTGATAAACCTGCAAGACTGCAATACTGAAGCAAACAATCGCATCACCTGTGGCCCCGTGTGTGACACATGGCTTTTTACCCAACCTTTAACTTTGGCCACTGACACCAGAAATAAACGTTTCCCTTCAGTTGTGATCGGTTAGAAAGACGACATCAAAACCTCAAATGAAACTGCAATTAATAATGTGAGAGCTGGTGAAGCAGCAAACACACCATTAATTATTTGGTGGATCTTTGTCTCATGCTTTAGACTGAGATCTCCTGTGAATGTCAGCAAAATAATTGAAACTCGTGCATGAAAACAGAAAACTGCGACTAAAAAGTTTGACTGTTGGAATTTAATGAACACTGTAAGTGGTTAATTTCATGAGATTTTGTTCGAACATATTCCATCAGCCTAGAAGTAAAAAAGCAAGTTTTTATGATTTAAAAACATCTTTAATTTACCAACAAATAATTAAAGAAACTGCACCACTACTCTCACTCACAGCTTAACTGTACATAGACTAAATATATATATATATATATTGCTAATCAGAAGCTGTAGCCCAATCATGTTACAAAAACCCCACCCACACAAATGAACAACTAACACAAAGACACACATCTCATTAGCTCTTTTTTGCATCGCGCCACTCAGCCGGACGCCTGATTTATTGAATTCTTTGATGTGGTTTTTTAAAGGTCTCATTTGGAGGAAGTGCAGCTGTAAAACTGGCATGTTTGCAGATGAGATGCGACACGGCTCTAAATTAAATATTACAGATGCCTGATTCTTTGTACAGAGACCCTGCTATGTCAGCTGAGGTGCCATTGGGGAACAGAAAACAACGTTTCATTAAGAATGAAATCAGTCACAAAAGTCTGGGACCAAATTCTTCACCCTCACATCAAAGACAAACAGCAAATATAAACGACTCTTTCAGATGCGATTCTTTGATCTG